ACTTGAGCTTGTTTGTTCGGCAGCAGTCGTGGACATTCCCTCCGATCAGTTGTTCAGTTCATTCAGAGCCTGACTTCAGTTCAGACTAGTTGTGATCAGCACTTCTTTGCCTTCACTTGCTCAAACTCCCCAACAAAATGTTCTCCAGCAAAAAGACCTTTATCATCAACCATCATCCCAACAGTTGCGCCGACTCTAATCATTCAACATCTATTAAACCACTGGTTAGCCCACCTCCTCCACCACCACCTCCACCACCACCACCACCACCACCGGCAACTTCAACCGCCAAATCACATCGATCCCGATACACTCAAATTTTCTGGAACGAAGAACAGCGACGTTTTGAGACTCGTCACCATCATCAGCAGAAGCAGCAACATCAGTCCTTGCACTTATCATCATCCCAAAAACTTCCCTGTCAAGCCTGTGCCGACGAGGAGAAGCACAATAGTCGAATGGCAAAAATCAAAAACAAGGCGAACCGAAAGTTTCAGCCTGAAAGGCAACAACAGCAGCAGCAGCTTATTTTGCTAAAGTGCAGTCCAATCTCTAAATCCTGCCTATCAGTGGCTGACCATCACCGGTGGGGTAATGTCAATGGCGGCCGCCGCATTGACTTTGACTGCTACGATGATTTGGCTGACAATGGCGACAATGACAAAAAGGCAAGTTGATGCACTTTTTTACATTTCAAAGTTAACACCTTTTAATATTTTGTGTAGAGGACGCAACACTCTTTTTCCAGCAATCCGGCCAAATTAATTGGCCTGAAGAAGTCCAAATCGAGCTACGTTTTAGCTTCCTCTGGTAATGGACAGCTGCCGGCAAACCGAGTTTCCCATCCGGTGTACACAGCGGCCAGCCAGTCTCCGTCGGCCGTCGCCCGGGTCACCCACCACCGACCCACGGTGGCCAGCAGTACCGGTAGTACCGAGGGTACCGGTAATACCGGTAGTACCGGTAGTACCGGTACCGGACCAAATCAACAGTCAATCTGGCGCCCCTTTACGCCCTCCCTCGCTAGGTCCTCCGTTGCTGGCGGCTCAAACCCTGGATCTCTGAGCTCAATTCAGCAGTCCTTTGAAGTTTCTTTGCAGCCAATTCAAAAGCAAAGCAAACGATGTTGCCGACAGCAGCAGCAACAACAGTTGACGCCGGGCGCCAATAAGGTGTTTACAGCTAAGCCAAACGTTTATAAATCGGCAAATGAAATGAACAGTTTTGAAAGTCCGCAAAAAACTTCAAAATCCTCATCTATAATGTGTACGACCAGGGTGTTTCAAACTGAAAGAAATGATTCCGCATCTAAAAGCCTGAAAAAGCAGCAACCACAGTTTGTCTCGCCGCCTTCTCCAGCTCAACTTCCGCCGCCAGTCTTCTTCTCTTCCAGCCACTCGAATGTGACCTCCATCGTAGTTCCACCGTCGTACACCTTTTCTCGAAACTACCTTGATGAAAAGTTTCACGGTTACCACCATCACCACCAATACTTTGATGAACGTTTTGAGCCCGAGCCGCTCAATGGTCAACAACAACAACAACTGCTGCTGAAGAAGAAGGTTAAGGAAAAGGAAAAAGCAACAAAGGGTGAAAAAGGCAACAAAGAGAAGAAAAAGTCGTCATCAAAGGACGACGAGAAGGAAGCAAAGAAGCAGAAGAAGAAAGTAAAAACGGTGGCAATGCCAATGACGGGCAATGAGCAAAGTCCTCCTCGATCAAGTGTGGGCATTCCCCGAATGGGTCGTCAAATGGCCTTCCTGGAGCCCTTCAACACTACGCTGTACGATCAGTCTCGACTGTTGATTCAGGAAAAAGAACAACAACAGCGACAACAGGAACAGAGTTCAGAGGGCATTGGCTGCACCAGTCTGCGTCTTCGCCTCGGTGGCTGGCTGGTAAGGCTTGGTCGGCGACTGCTGCGAAATCAAAGTGACTAGATTTGATTCTTAACCCCCTAAAAAAACTACCATTCTAACAGCATTGTTTTACATTCAAATCTATCAAATTGTATTAATTTAGTTAGTTTTAAAACACACCTAGTATTACAAAATGTATACCAGTTTATCTTGGAGATAGTGAACACAATCAAAAATGTTTTTAAATTAAATCATTAAAACTACTTACTAATTCTTACAATAAAACACATCATTTTGAAATTTTTCGTTTTTACCTAAAATGCGGAAATGTTTAACAAGGTGAATGATAATGTGAACACACACACACACACAAATGCGCTTTTAATACCGTTTCGTAAGCTTTTTTCAGTCATTTGATTTGGACATTTGTCTGACTGAAATAATAGAGCAAAAAACAAAAAAAGTGCTCACTTTTAGCACTTACATATGCACTTGCCAAGGTGTGAAAGAGACAATGACAAGTCAAGTGGAACAAAAGTTTTCATCTATTGCAAAAGAAAGCGAGTAAACGATCGCGTTGAGAGCTGAGGTAACATAGAAATTGCAGCTTTTTTTACGGTTATCACTATCACTTACATAATGTTGACCTTTACAAATAAAACAACTGAATTTAGTTGTACAATATCACCAGGTTTTCATTACACTGATTTACACTTCCTTGTCATTGAGTAGTTAAATAGAAAACTGACGCTCTTGACCATCTTAATAATAAGAATTTAGTCAACAAAAATGCAGTCATCAGTATTGAATGCGGATATGAAGTAACAAATTGTCGTTGGCATTGTTTTTGAAAAAGAATTTAATGTTTTCAATGTTTTCATTAAACTTATTATGAAATATTCTATTGAACACTTGATTTCCTTTCTCTTTTTCTCTTTCTTCCTATTTTTGTCTCTTTTTCTTCCTATTTGACACCCTTGATAGCTGTCTAAACAAATCATATATAAATCAGGTGACAAACTGAAAAAAGGGCATCAGATTTTGAGCTGCGCCGTTTCTTGAAGCACATAAAAAGTCAACAAAAATGGTAAAACACATTTGTGCAAATCCTAACTTGATTGAATTATATTCAACACGCATTTTTTTGTTTCATTGAAATTTCAGGCTGCATCTTTTCTCTCAAAGTCGTGCTTCATTTTGCCACTTCTGGCAGTGGTATTGTTGGCCATCTACTTGAACCACCACCAGGTGAACTGTAAGTCATTGACTGCTCCTGGAGCTGATCAATCGATGATGATGGCGGCNAACTTGATTGAATTATATTCTTATCATTTCAACACGCATTTTTTTTGTTTTATTGAAATTTCAGGCTGCATCTTTTCTCTCAAAGTCGTGCTTTATTTTGCCACTTTTGGCAGCATTGTTGGTCATCTACTTGAACCACCACCAGGTGAACTGTAAGTCATTGACTGCTCCTAGAGCTGATCAACCGATGATGATGATGGCAGACAGCTCAATGGCTCGTTCAGTGGCCATGCAGGCCAGTGATGGCGGACCAGGTATGGGCCTGCTTAATGGTTATGGTAAAAAGTAAGTAAAATAATTTCAAACTTTTTAAAACAAAAAACTAAGCTAAGTTGCAAACAAAAAGATTACATTTTTTAAACAGAATTTATTCAATTAATTAACCAAATACCCAATTGTTTGTTTTTTATGTATAAAGGAAAAAGAAGTACGGCAAAAAGAAGAAGGGTTACGGAAAGAAGAAGAAGGGCTATGGAAAGAAGAAGAAGAAGTACGGATACTAATGACTAATGACCGTTTATTTATTGTTTATTTTATTTGTCTAAATTCTAAAAATATTTAACGTTGCAACTACTTTTTATTTAAATTAAAACTAAAACATTGAACACTTGTTAATATATTAAAAACACGATTACATTTTATTTTTGGCGTCAATCATATTAAATAAAATACCAAAAAATGTAATAAAACAAAGCAATAAAATTAGCACCTTAACTACTGAAATTAACTTTTTATAACACCAAATTTTGGTAGTGTTGATTGTGCCAGCAATCTGAAGAGAAAGTAAAAGAAAGACAAGTAGGCAAATATAGACTTTATACACTTACATTTTATTAGCAAAAATCTACAGCAATTAAATACTTTCCTTTTGTGCCTAGGCAATTGCCATTTGTCAAAAAACCTAAAATAGTTTAGAGAACACAGCTCGCAAAAAACAGTGTCAACTGGCAAATGAAATATTTATTAGCATGTGTGTTTATGTGCATTTATTTGAAACTTTCATTTCAATAAATTATATTCCATTTTTGTTGTGTTACCTCCTTCGTTCAATCACTGCTCCCACCACTGCTGATTACCGTGAAATGTGAACAGTTTTTTGACAATGTGCTGCAGTCCCACCCACCCACTGTGACGTGCAGACATTTTTTTCAATAAAGTTGTTATTATTCAGATTCTTTTTTCAATGTAAGCTTTAATGTTTTGGCAGTGTTTTATTATTGGTGCCAACATTTGTGTTCATGTTTTGCTATTTTTTCACCTTTTTTATTATTACCTTTGACATTATATGAATTGCTTTTGTTTGCGTAGTATATATTTTTATTAATTTGACTACTTTTTTCTTTTTATATACTATTTGATTATTAATTTTGCCTTTAAAAATGAAACTAAATGAATGCAGATTTGTTTAAAAAAACTTTAGTACAATCAAAAGTTTTACTCAAAAATGCTGATTAATGGTAATCATTGATTGTGCAATATTTACAATGACAATATATTTCAATATTAACACACTTCAAGGTTCAGTTATGATTTGACGTTATTCTGATGATATCAGCATATTTTGACGCTGCTTATTGCTTGTTGCCAATATTCCATTTTAGTGAAAAAGAAAAAACAATTTGCATTAATGTAAATTTTCAAAACAAAAACCACATTAACGGCAAACTAGTGAAACTATCTCAACTGTACACAAATATTTTTTATAACTTTTTTCCTCTGCATTCAAACATCATAACTACATAGCTCTGAAGAATGCTGTGAAACACTAAAACAAGCTATTAAATTATTTTCATCACTATCAAAAATGCAACATGCTTAGTTGTGCGAATCAACAATATGCACTTCAGCAGCATCATCACAACACTACTGATGCAAGCGATTTGCATTTCTCTACACTTTCAACCTATCAAAAACTTTTCATTTTTATTGCCCACACTTGAAGAAGTAGGGGAGCTCAACTTTAAAGGACCGCTTTCTGCCACCTCTGCTGGCCACTCTTCAGTACAGTCAACTACAGATACTTCCGCAGGTGACAGCAGTTTGCCAGCAGAGTTCGACTGGCGAGATCACCATAAAGTCACCTCGGTTCGTGATCAACGACAGTGCAATGCCTGCTATGCATTCGCCGTCACCTCGGCCATTGAAAGTGCTCTGGCAATACAGTACGACATCAACATAGACACAACGATTACCAGGTCGACGACCATCACTGTCACCAACAGTACCTCAAGCGGAAACAATACCGAAAACGGAAACAGCACCAGTAACAACCTGAGCTCCGTGCACATGGTCAACATGAAGGTAACTTCGACCAGAAATGAACACTATGTCAACTTGAACTTGTCAGTTCAGCAGCTGATTGACTGTACCTTCATGAAGAATCGATCAAGAGAATCAAACACTTCTTCTTCTTCTTCTTCTGTTTCCTCTTCCTCTTCCTTNTGTCAACTTGAACTTGTCAGTTCAGCAGCTGATTGACTGTACCTTCATGAGGAATCGATCAAGAGAATCAAACACTTCTTCTTCTTCTTCTTCTTCTTCTGTTTCCTCTTACTCTTCCTCTTCCTCAACAAAATCAAATAGCAATTACTATCGCAATAATGCTTGCCAGTATGGCTACATTGAGGATACGTTTCGCTATGTAGTGGAAAACGGTCTACTGCCTGAGGAGATCTATCCTTATGAGATGCAGGTAAGAGCAAAAAGTTGGCTATTTTTATTATTCTGCAAATCTATTCTGCTAATAATACGATTCAACATTTTCATTTTGTACCGTTATTATTGCAGAAATCAGCCTGTCGCCCATTTCCACTGTACACTAACCGTACATTCATCAGTGGCTATGAAAAGAAGCTCAACTTAACTGAAAATGAAATAAAGGCGCTAATTTATACAAGTGGACCAGTAATTACGCTAATTAACGACAAGGGTCTGGAGTTTCTCAACTACAAGTAAGTTGGGGGAGAAAGAGGAAAAAAATTTGATATAAAACAGAACATTAAAGCAAAACAAAATATTTCAAAAACTTTTTTCAGAGGCGGCATTATTAAAAGTGGCAAAAACGCAAACAGTTTTAAAACGCCCACACATGCCGTGCTAATAGTCGGCTGGGGCATCGAAAACAACTCCACCAACACCACCACTTACTGGACAATTAAAAACTCCTGGTCAACTCGGTGGGGCGAGCTAGGCTTTGCGCGCATTCAAGTGGCCACTCGCGGCATCGGTCGGTACGTCTTTTACCCCTTGCTGGAGAAGAGGTCAACTGCAAACGAAGGGAGGAATGACCCATTCAGGACGGTCATTGTGTACAGTAAGTTTAACGTTTTTTGGTTTTTTCCCTTATGTTTGTACAACCGAGATACAAAATTCCTGACTGAACACAAACTCAAAAACTAACTCACTTTATATTGCTTTCCCACTTTTTTATCACTCATTATCTTACTTTCTTTTTCTTTTTTTTACAGTTTTTCTCGCCATTTTAATCACCTCATTGCTCACCTTCTACGCCGTGGCGCAAGTTTGCAACAGCGCCTTCTTTGACCGTACTAAAGCTACCGGCTCCAAGTACTTTCGCGTCGCCTACTCAAAACCTAAGGCAAAGTTTGAAGTAAACAGCTGAAAAAGATAGGCAGATTGTCTTCATTTGTATTTTCTTTTCAGAATTTGTAATCTTCTGTTTATTTGCTAATAAATCAAAAGCATTTGTGTGACCAGTGTCTCCACTATTTTGATGTTTTGTTGTTTTCAGAGAAGAGAAACGCATCATTTATCGGCCATTATTTGCCGCAAAGACAACATTTTGGGCAACTGACTGTGAGCATTTGTTTTCACTCTAAATTGAATTTAAACGCGCATCTTTCACTTCTTTGTGATCTCTCTTTTCGTTCATCACAACAGCTGTCTATTCAATCCTATTCAACAGTTCTTACAAAGTTTAATTTTTAGTTTTAGCTAGCTTTTTTAACAGTGACATTAGTTTGAACTATCAGGACGGTGTAGTGTAGTACAAAGAGGAGCAGCGCCAGCATGAAGCTACCGTTTAGCGTGCAAAAGGCGTAAAGGTTGACCTGACAGAGTGGCCCGTAGACCAGCGGGAGACCTGGAAGAAGGTGTCTGGTAAAGAAGACACAGTTTGCCTCTGCTGCTGCCGACTTTCTAGCATGAAACGGCTTTCTGCCATTAATTACCGGAACTTTGGTTTTCAAATCGTTTTGACGCGCCTGATCAGCGCTGACTAACTGCCTTGCTAGCTCCGCCAGACGTTGACAATTGGCTCTGCCCAGCACCGCCAGGTAGGCTTGAAAGCCGAAAACGGCGGCAGTGTACAGGAAGAAGGTGTACTGCGAGAAGAGGCCACAGAGACAAAGCGAGGAGAGGCTGTCCACGGCGTTGGAGATGATGAAGGCCAGCAACGGGGGCGAATTGAGCCGGTGAAGTTGCTGACTGAGCGTCAGCACCTGCCCAACTTTCTTTTTCATCATTTCCATTTGACGCCTCATTTCTTCATCGGTGTCATCAGCGTTTCCCTGAGTTGCCTGTACATCTTTTTTTGTCGTGCTGTCCAGCGTCTTCAGCGTGGTCCAGGTGGCCGTCCAGGCAATGCTGAGGGGAATTAGCTGAGAGATGAAGTTGATGTACATCGCCGCCCAATTACGAAACAAAATAGCAAAACGGCTCAAAGTGCCGGGCATGAACTCTGCCAGGGACAATAGTAGGACAGGGCAAAGAAGGCCTGCAGCAGCAGTAGTCCAAATGCAAAGATCCACTTGTTTGAGCTTGGGTCTCCCTTATCAAAACAGGAAGTGCAGTGCGGCGAGTTGACCAACAGCTTGGCAATCTGTCCCCCAAAAACAAAGTAGTAGCCGGCAATGAAGGCGTACGCAAGGAGACTCTGAGTTCCACTCTGAGTTGTAGCTGTAGAGAAGGGTGGCAAATGGCTGCCTTTTTGGGTGATGATCAGCAGGCTCCAAAGGCTNTTGACCAACAGCTTGGCAATCTGTCCCCCAAAAACAAAGTAGTAGCCGGCAATGAAGGCGTACGCAAGGAGACTCTGAGCTCCACTCTGAGTTGTAGCTGTAGAGAAGGGTGGCAAATGGCTGCCTGGGGCTGCTGTTCATGTAGAAGTGGCTGTTGAAGGGATCACAAAAGAGAAAGATGTCCGTCACTTGGGTGATGATCAGCAGGCTCCAAAGGCGCTGGGCGAAGCCCAGAAACGATCGGCCAGACGACTGTTGGCAAAAGCTGAATCCCAGTAAACTAAAGTTTAGGAATAAAAAACTGTTAACTTTTTTATACTAAAAAGCAAAAAGTTACCATAAAAACTGTAAAGTAAAACGGTGAATCATTTTGAAAACATAAAAAATTATTTTTTCATTTTGCAATTTTCAGACTGAGAGCTTAATAAGTGAAAAAAGCTGTTTTATTGATTTAATCAACTTAACAAAATAAACAAAGTTGCAACTTGAACAAACAGCCTAAAAAGGTAGCTAGTTCAAGGTCAACAGGCAACAGCAACAAAGTAATCAAGAGGCAATTCACTCTACTTCCACTTTACTAATACAAAAAAGTAATTAAGTAATTGTGTAGTGGTCCCTAAAGCAAACAATATTTTCTCCTCGTTGTTTTCCCCCCTTTTCCCCCTTTTCCCCTCAACTTTCCGTCTTTGTCTGCAGCATGAAAACGGTGTACTTGAGCGTGAAGAGCGCTATGGCGACGATGAAGGCGTAGTCGACGGCGGCCAGGCTGAACAGCCTCACCCGGAACCTGTCCTCGTACAGCGTCCTCAGCTGGCTAAGGTGAATTGGAACATAGTTCCGTGGGTGCTGCTTCCTTTCACCCTCATTTTTATCATCAGTTGTTTCCAGTTCCAGTGCACCAACAGTCTGCCGGCGAATAATCTCCCGCAGCAGGTGAACTGTTTTGGTAGAAAGCCGCGCCAGGTAGAGTTGATAACCGAACATGCTGAGGAAGTAAATGGCCAGACCGAGCTCAAAGCGGACACTGAGCCGACAGAGAACCGAGAGGCTGTCCACGGTGTTGCTCAGCAGGAAAACCGCCAGGGGAAAGGAGTTCAGGGCGTGGAGGGCGGCGGTCAGCTGGGCGAGGGTTTTAAGTTGTTCTAGGAGGTGATCAAGAGTTGAGACGTTTTTAGCGATCATTTTTAGCGCCAGGAACGTGCCCAGCTGCGTGTAGTGGGTAATGCAGAGGGGCAGCGTGAACATCAGGTAGTTGATGAACATCAGCGGCCAGTGGAAGAGGAGGGCAGGGATGCTGAAGAGGAGGTAGTACTCCCCCAGAATTTCCATGTAGGAGACGGCGAAGAAGAGCAGCTGCACCAGGGTCCACAGGGCAAAGTACCAAAAACCTAGTTTCCGGTGGTCAGTTCCTTCCGGTACAAAGACCGCCCGGTACTGGGGAGCACTGTCGAGGAGGTGGACGATTCGGGGCAGATGAAGTAGGTAGTGGGGCAAGGTGCAGGCGTAGGCCAGCTGGTAGTTCCAGTTGGCATTCGCGGAGATGATCAACTTGAGGAAGGGCTTCCGGGTGAAGTGGTCGAGGTGTAGCTTCTGCAGGAAGGGGTCGTCGAAGAAGAAGGACCAGATCACTAGCAGGTTGAGAAGGGCGCACCAGAGGTACACGAGGAGTAGTTTAGCCCGTGTTGAGGCGGGTAAAGCTGGCCAGCCGCTTTCTATCCTGTTCACCGGGTAGGCGGGAATGCCGAAAAGACTGATGAAAGATTTAACAAGAAAAAAATTTAGATAAAAAACAAGAACAATTAAATGGTATTGATTAAGGCCAGACATGGCGATCGACGCGTCACCATGCGGTGTAATGCATTCTCTATGAAAAAACTGAAAATTTTCGGACAGCGATATCTCAGCTAATTCTGAAGTTAAAATTATGATTAAGGTTTTAAATTAAAGTTAACAATTAGGCCGAGGGAAGCTTCAATCAAAATTTTGATTTTGACTCCCAATTTTTTTTAATTGCAAGTTAAGTGTTTAAAAACTCTAAAAATTGATTTTTTTTGTATTCAACTTGCAATTAAAAAAGTTTAGGAACTTAACTCAAAATTCTGGTTAAAGCTTCCCTTGGCCTAATCGTTGGCTTTAATATAAAACCTTAATCATAATTTTAGCTTCAGAATTAGCTGAGATATCGTTGTCCGAAAATTTTCAGTTTTTTCATAGAGAATACATTACGTCGCATGGTGACGCGTCGATCGCCTTGTCTGACCTTAAGTTGCTTCAAACCTGTAGTAGCGGATAAAAAGCTGAAGAATGGGCGTTTTAATTGCCAGCTGCTCTGCCATTGTTTGTAAACTTTTTAATTGCAATTTCAATTTTCACAACTAATTTTCTTTGTGCACTTTTTTTAATTGCATTTCATGAATTGTTTTTTCCGTTCTCAAGCAAGCTGGGTACATTGTGTACACAAACAAAATCAATACTTTTTTTCCAATTAACATTTTGATGTAAGTACAATAAAAACAGACAAAACATACTAGCTAGATAAACAGCAAAACACTTGTTTATTTAGAATGTACTGAAAATGGGGTTTTAATTTTATTATTAGTAAAGTTGGCAAAAACAATAGAAAGGTACGTCTCTACCTAAATATTGCTAGTCTGCAACATAAAGACGCAGTAGTTAAGCAAAAAGAGGACCAGTGAAAAAACAAAAGAGTAGTCAATGACGAGAATGTCAAAGATGGACAGTGAAAAGTCCTCCCTGTACAGGCAAAGCTCTCGATAGGTGCCGTACATGCTTCTCATACAGCTGCTCTGCTCTTGAAAAGCCAAAAACTTAGTTTTTGAGTTTGTACTTTTCAAACTAGTCCTCCGCTGCGGCCCACAGCTAAACTTGGCCACCTCAGTGAGAAGCTCCTCAAACTTGTCCGTCGTTCTGGCGGTCAGCCGAGCTAGGTGAAGCTGCACCGAGAGCATGCC